TTCCTCCATGTTGGTCAGGCTGGTCTCAAAATGCCAACCTCAGGTGGTCTGCCCACTTTGGCCTCCCAAAGTGTTGAGATTACAGGCATGAGCCACCATGCCTGGCTAAAAACTTTTTATTTTAAATATAAATCCCAAGTAAGGCAAACAAGAAAGTGTAAACTGATAAATGGAGTTTTTTTCTTCTGTAGCTTTTTAAAAATGAATTTTCTTATTTAGATGACCATCTCTAGTCATCCTGCAAATTTAACTTATTTAATTTGATATTGATTAGGCCCAGTTTATCATTTAATAGCTAAATATATTAAATTATAGGGAAGGTTTTCTTATTTGGTGGAGGATCTCTGAAATAAAGTTGTTATAATCAAGTGATTGATAAAGTTTATATTTTTTAAATTTTCTTTTGTTTTACTTTAAGTTCTAGGATACATGTGCTGAACATGCAGGTTTGTTTCATAGGTAGACATGTGCCATGGTAGTTTGCTGCACCTATGAACCTGTCATTGAGGTTTTAAGCACTGCATGCATCAGGTATTTGTCCTAATGCTCTCCGTCTTTTGGCCTCCCATCCCCTGACAGGCCCCAGTGTGTGATGTTCCCCTCTTTGTGTCCATGTGTTCTCATTGTTCAGCTCCCATTTATGAGTGCTAATTTGTGGTGTTTGGTTTTCTGTTCCTGTGTTAGTCTGCTGAGGATGACGATTTCCAGCTTCATCCATGTCCCTGCAAAAGACATGAACTCATCCTTTTTTATGGCCACATAGTTTTTCATGGTGTATATGTGCCACGTTTTCTTTATCCAGTCCATCATTGATGGGCATTTGGGTTGCTTCCAAGTCGTTGCTTTGTGAATGGTGCCACAATAAACGTACATGTGCATGTGTCATTATAGTAAAACAGTTTATAATCCCTTGGGCATATACTCAGTAATGGGATTGCTGAGTCAAATTGAATTTCTAGTTCTAGATCCTTGAGGAATCACCACACTGTCTTCCGCGATGATTGAACTAATTTACATTCCTACCAACAGTGTAAAAGGGTTTGTTTCTCAACATTATCACCAACATCTGTTGTTTCCTGACTTACTAAGGATCACCATTCTAACTCATTGTAGTTTTGATTTGCATTCTCTAACGACCAGTGATGATAAGCCATTTTCATATGTTTGTTGGCTCCATAAATGTCTTCTTTTGATAAGTGTCTGTTCATATCCTTTGTCCACTCTTTGATGGGGATATTTCTTTTTTTTCTTGTAAGTTTGTTTAAGTTCCTTGTGGATGCTGGATATTAGCCCTTTGTCAGATGGATAGATTGCAAATAATTTCTCCCATTCTGTAGGTTACCTGTTAACACTGATGATAGTTTCTTTTGCTGTGCAGAAGCTCTTTAGTTTAATTAGATGCCATTTGTCAATTTTGGCTTTTGCTGCCATTGCTTTCGGTGTTTTGGTCACAAACTCTTTGCCCCTGCCTATGTCCTGAAAGGTATTGCCTAGGTTTTCTTCTGGGGTTTTTATGGTTTTAGGTTTTATGCTTAAGTATTTAATCCATCTTGAGTTAATTTTTGTATAAGGTGTAAGGAAGGGGTCCAGCTTCTGTTTTCTGCATATGGCTAGCCAGTTTTACCAACACCATTTATTAAATAG